ACATTTTAAAGCAACTGAATTCAGTTTGGAACTGTTCAAATTGCTTTCGGTTTAGTGATATTAACATTTTAAACCAGTGCATTTAATTTCAAATTACTGAATGCAAATTCAGTTTCTGATGGCACAAGTTTCTGTCCATACGCTGCATAAACCTGATCAAATTAAATCCAATTCTACTTGTTCTGATTCTGGACTAAATTTACTGAATTGAGGGTCCATGTGGCATTTACTGGGTTCCTCCCCTATGCAGGTCAAAGGGTCTGACTTTTACACATTGGAACTTTTTTAAATTCATGTGTAAGAGCATTTCTTCTGCCTTGCTTTGAGCCTGATGTTTTCCTGACATGAAGCTTTAGTTCATTCATAACGGCCTACCTTCCTCCTCCGCCTCCTGCTCCACATCTAGCTATCACCCCGTACCCCCCAGCCAGCAGCACCTACCTGGAGGTGGTCATCTACTGCGTTGGCTTCTTTCTGATCGCCTTCATGATCACCATCGTAATAATCCTCAAAATCCGAGTCACCTCAAAGAAGAGCGACTTCAACGGCCAGCTGGCTGTCCACAAGCTGGCCAAAAGCATCCCGCTGCGCAGACAGGTAACAGAAAGTAGATAGGGGGTTTGCATCTTTTATACCCTTTCACCTTTTCTTCTGTTAGATGCTTGTTTTATCTTATAAACTCCAAAATGTACAGCATCTGTGGCTGCTTGAGATAAAGTGATTAATCTGTTGATAGGAATGCCAACTGACCAAGCCTTTAGGTTCTTTCTATTCAGTGACGGTTTTACTCCAGGTATGTATGGGAATATGAACTCCAACTCTCGCCCTAGTTACACTAGCCCTCTGAAACCGATCCGTGCAGAGTTCAGACCGAGCTTGCATCAGTTAACCCTACCGAGCCTGATTCTTACCACCACTTATAAATCATGCTAGCACGGTTCCTCACCTCCTATCGACGGTCCGCGATACTACAGCTCTTAAGGGCGGGAATTACACTTTAAAAATGGCGGCCACTTTATTGTATCTGTTACACTATATCCGTTGGTTGTGCTGTTCTTTTTACATCTCTTTGCAAGTGATGAAGCAGACTGAAGACGTTTTGTCGTTTTCTTGTTTCTACTTACATTGCAGTGTCCATATAATCTGTAATACTCCCTGCATGAATATAATAAAGCTATTTATATGCATAAATCAAGCAGAGCACTATGGCGATAGCTGTACTGCTCCACTTGTGAAAGTGTTGGGCCCTCTTTTTGGCATTAATGCAATTGTTATTGTCATATTGCCATACATGACACTGTTTAAAAAAAAAAATAAAATGGTGGCGCCCATAACCTTCAGGAACCTGGATAGCATCCTCCGCCAAAG